AAACAAAACAAAAAACATATTCAAGAAATTCTATTTCCTTCCCTCAGTTCCCATAAAACAGGGCTGTTTTCCTTCAGTCATCATGAATATACCTATGGAGCACAAAATGTCGTGAAAATAGCAAGAATGAGCTGAGCTGCGGCAGCTCTGTGTTCTTTCATGAAGTCAGCTTGGAGATCATGGCCAGGGTTCTCACATTCAGATACCTAAATATAGAGCTGTGCATACTCACCACGGCTGAATTGCCAGGAGTCTTTATGTTCAGAGCTGGAATTTGATCAACAATTTCTAAAAAATCCTCTGTGATGTCTAATTTTGGGCACCAAAAAGCAAATCTATTTCAAAACACAAGATCCTTATGGAAATATTGAGATTTAGCTTCTTTCTCATGTTGTTCATGGGATTGCTTTGTTCCATGACTGTGAAGGCAAGACCAGGGAGCGGTGACACCGAGCTTTCTCAGTATCCCGTTCATTCAGCACATCTTCCTAGCAACGTGAAGTCAATTTTTTGGCTTTAAGGCAAAGCAGTGCTTTCAGAGAAAGCACTTTCCAAAAGGAAAGAAAAATGTTTTGCCTTCCTGAAGACTTTCCACCTGTGCCCTCATGTGTCATGTTAACTGCCCCACTCAGCACAAGTCCTGCCATAGTCTCTGGGATGCCCTCCTGCTGAACCCTGTGCCGCTGGTTAGCATTACTGTCAGCAATTTAATGTCACTAGATGATAATCCATGGATAATAACAGAGTAAAATACTTGTTATCAACTTGGCTGTGGGATCTAGAAATACTGGCTGGTCTTTTTTATCCTGCCAAATCTAAGCCCTCTGTAACACAACTAACATTTTTGCATTAAATGGCCCTGAGTATCAGGGATATTTATTTACCCCCTAACCTAGCCTTACTCTGAAGCATGTGTTTACCGTTCTACCTGGGAATATTCCTTTCAAATGATACAACCTGTATGATTAGTTTTAGCGCAGGCTAGATTGTCACAGTAGATGAGGGTCTCCAGGAGAAACACCCTCTCCTTACATGGTCTCTGCATCCCATCCATTCTGGAGGAGAATAAGAGACTGAAGACATATTACACTCATTTTGGTGATAGCTGCTATAACTGTTAAGTGGCCTGTGAGGCTGGGAATATCCTGCAGAAAGTAGCCATGATAATAAGTCATGATATAGGTATTAGAAATGCCTCACAGCTTGTCAGCTAATGTGTCTTTGCTAAGGAAATAAGCACGAAGAGCAGAAAACTCACTCCCAGTCTGGTCACTCTCACATAACTTTTTTTCACTGACAGGAGGTGGTTGAAGGTGCAATTAGGTCTTGTGATTGATTGGCTCCCTGTCTCCAGGCATGGCACTAAACTCTGCAGCCCACTGAAACGCAGCTTGGGAATTCAGTGGTGGGACATTTCCATCCCACTTTGCACAAAAAATACCATCTGTCACCCCTGCTCAGGATGCTGCCACCACTTCTGCTTTCCAGCCAGGGAGAGGCTTGTCTCTCCCTGAGGTCTCCACTCCCACTTGCCTCAGCAGTGCTGTGACAGCATGGACTGACATCTGGAAGAGCTTGTTTTCCTGGACTGGCTCTGTCTCCCAGTTCTCTCCTAATAAAATGACTTATTGGTTTAAGATGGTGTCTCTCATGTTTTCTTCCAACTTTACGAAATTAGATCTGTTTTTCAACTTGATCTATATCTCTGAGAGTTTGACCAATTTATCAGTCAAATGCAAGACCAAACATCATGACATTTTTCTTCCTTCTGTGGGACATAGATTAAACTTTTTTCCAAACATCTAGCTACTTTTAGTAGTAGAATTTTAATCATTCACTCACACAGCATTAAGCATATAAAAATGGCCAGGAGCTGTGAAAGATGTGGCCACTAAATACTTGAGGAAGACCTTCAGCTGGTACAAATGGCATTTCTCCAGCTGTACAGAGAGTGCTGCATCTGTTGAGCAGCTGAGCAACCAACCCTTGTAGTGACTGGGCCACGGGGACCTGGCACAGTGTGTGTCACAGTGGCTGGAGAGTGTCTGTGTGTCACAGTGACAAGCTGGAAAGGGAGGCAGTAGAGGCATCCTCAGCCAGACCAGTCTGGAGTCGAGACAAATCCAGGTTCACCCTGTTTGAAGGAATGCCAAGAACTACTCCTAACACAGAAAAATGGGTGCACTTTTGTCCACTTTGCAACATCAGGCTGACAAACATGAGAAAACTGCAAGAGGCCAGACAAACTGTAAAAAGACTTCCAGGCGCTTGCCTGTTGCTGAGCTGTGTTACTTGAGGAGGTGGCCTATGGCTGCAGTGATGGGTTCTCTCAAGGAGCTCATCACAATTTCACGTTACTGAGCAAGGCAAATGAGAGGGGTTTTGGTTTAGAATGTGTAACTACTTCTGCCAGATGGTATCTCATGATATTTAAATGTAAGAGCTAAATAAGAATTCAGACTAATTATTAATTAATAGTTGGAGATAAAATATATATTTTCCTTTTGAGATAAAACCTAATATAAAACAGTCACAGCTTTAGAAGTAAGATTGGCTCTAGTATAGCAATCAGCAGTAGCTTAGGCTTACAGACATAAAGTCCCAGCTGTACTGAGAGGAAAAAGTGATGCTGGCAACTGTTTGACTATCAGTCAGGAAAAGCAATCCCCTCCAGGCCAATGTGGGTATGACGGGTGAAGAGAGTATCTTTGCACTGATGATATTAATAGCTCATTTGCAAATTTCTACCCAAATCTATTCACTTCAAAAGCTCAGCTTGGGGACCAAGAGAGATATTTTTCAACAAAACATTAGTCTCAATTAACTAAATGTAACCAAGATAAATGAGCTGAAAAAATCAGCAGCAGATAAAACTGGTGAGGCCATTAAATCTATGAAGGGAAGATGCTGAAACTTGGAAGGCACCCGAATACAATTGTGCAAGTATTCCAAGGCAGGGTCAGAAAGGGATAACGAGGCTCTCGCAGGCCGGAGATGCTGAGAGGCCAGACGGTATTGACACAGACAGTCAAACAACAGCGCAGCCCACAGCAAACACTGCGCACTAAGGTGGGAAAGAATTTTAATGAGCAATTTCAGTCTCATACTTGCTATGAAAAAAGGCCTTGGCATTGTTCCCACTGACAGTGCCCTCCAGATTAGAGACTAAATCACAGCATCCTCAGGGGAGGATGAAAAGAGATAGCAATGGAGTGTCTTTCATTTTTGCTTTGATCCTGATATACTAACAGTAACGTGTTTATAAGGGCTACAGTGTAGTTATATTATTGTTAATATATCAGGAGTAAAAAGAGCAAGCCCAAGAATATAAATAAAATAAAATAAAATAAAATAAAATAAAATAAAATAAAATAAAATAAAATAAAATAAAATAAAATAAAATAAAATAAAATAAAATAAAATAAAATAAAATAAAATAAAATAAAATAAAATAAAATAAAATAAAATAAATAAATGTAGTAGAATAGAATAGACCCACAATAAAGTAATTTTAGCTGATTTTAAGGTATTACCCCAAAGTTTTATGAACACTTACAGCAGGTCATGCACTCGTGGGTAAACAGTAGCTTATTTAGTAAATCATCATCATCATCATCATCATCATAAGGTCCCTTTAAAAAACTATTTTGTGATGTCTTCAGAAGGACCAACACCTCAATTCCCCCAGAGGAGGCAGATTTTTTTTTTTTTTTTTTGTACAGAAGTAATAACTTGTGGGGTGGAGGAACCGGCATGTACATTGGAGGCAAAAGGAACAAAACGCTCTTTAAGGCATCAAAAAGCTCAGCTGCCGCCTGCAAAATATCTGCAATATGTTATCAGCCCAGGGTAAATGAGTCAGATGCTTCCCCCAGGAGCCATTCCACCCCGGGCGGGCTGGGAGCGGGGCCCAGCAGATGGCTGCTGGGGATGCCTTTCTGCCCGGAAAACTGGGAATGAAAAGAGCGTGCCCCCGAGCGCAGCCCATCTCTCAGTGACAGGCTCGCGGCTGCTCCAGGCCCGTGTGCCGGGAGAGCTCCCACTCGGGCGGTGCCAGCACCAGAGCTGTCTTTGCTCTCCCGAGCAGAGGCTGCCACGGCCTTCCCGGCCTTGACCCGCTTTAGGCTACAAAAGTATTATGTGGTAAGTCGGCAAAACTGCTGAAAAAGCCTATTATCACCATCGAAAGGCTGAAAGAGAAATGCACACGTTATCTCCCCAGCTCTGCAGCACGGTGTGCCACGTAAGCCCTCCAGGAGAGCAACATTTCCAGTTTCATGAGCGATTGTGCTTCCACGCTATTGTGGGCTCGGCCCCCCTGTGAGAGCAATTCCCCAGCCAAGCTGCGGAGCCAGGGAAGGCCAGTTTGCTTCATCTGTTACTGCCACGGCTTGTTAAAAGGACAGATCCTCTCCCTGCTGCGCCGTTCATTTCCATTTGATCCTGTTCATTATTTCTAACCAGCTTTTTATAAATCAGTGTTCTGCAAGAAACCCCAAAACTGAGTGTGATGGAGACCTAGGCATGTACAGTGCTCATATGCAGACAAAGAAATTCCTGTTAAACCGCAGATGGCTCTGTGTGCAACCTCGCTGCTGTTCACATGGCTTCAAGCATAGGTCTTCAGCAACCCTGAGCCAGTGCGTGCAGCAAGGATCATCTTGAGTGTCACTTGGCATCAAACAGGCACATTCATCCTTTCAGACTTTTCTATTGAAATAATCAGCAACTGGAACACTTGAAAGCAACTAAGTTTTTGAAAGAAAAGCTATGCGAGCTCTTTGTTCCCCCCCAAACTTGGGATTACTAATATTTTTCTACCTATCTGGAGAGTTTATCATCGTTTTTTGAAAACATAAGATAAATCTTTTACAGAAAAGGTTTTCAAGTATTTGGAGTTTTTATTTTTCACCAGGTAGAGCCAAATACCTTCAGTGTTTTCAACACCAGTGGCTTTCCTCAGGTTTTTCACTTAAAAATCAAAAAGATTGAATTTTGCCTTGGTAGATTATTTTTATTATTTATTGGTGCATTTTCCTATAAACAAGACTGACTGCTTAATGGAAAGTCATCTCCTGTGTTTCTCAAAGTAGAAAGTAGCTGCTGTCCCAGAGGCAGCAATAATTGCTAGAATGGCAATGAATAATTGCTTGGTAACAGCCAGTGCAAGGCTTTGCTTTTCACTGGGAACCTGTTCCCTACACAGAGACTAATTAGCTACTGCCGAAAGGAAAAGGGAGAACTGCAGAGCTGCTGTCTGCTCTCACTCCCAGTGTTTTACAAGGTGTTTCCTGACACCTCCCAGTCTCTGCTCACCTATGGCCTGAGTCCAAAGTTCTCCTTAGCGTGTTTGCCCACCTGCTCTATACCCTTCCTCTGTGAAAGGATTTAAAACCACACTGCATTTTTCCTGTCTCTAGAGCAAAGTAAAATACTCACTAAAAGGATCCTGAGTAAAAGCTCAGCTAGCATGGATGGGCTGTTCCAGCTGGGCAAGGGGCTTTTGGTGAATCAGCAAGTGGTGGGGCTGTATTGCTGGGGAGGCACTGGAGCATCACTTTGGTCACTGTACTTCTAGCAAAATATAAGGGAGAAGTGGATGGGACAGACAGACACATGGCTCCACTTTCTACTTACTCAGCCAACCCCCCAGCTCTCCTCACTAAGGGCTGTCATGCCAGGTTGATTTTGCCTCTGAGACTTTAGGAAATCAAGAGTTTAGATTTAATCTCTCTCTGCTGGGTTCTAATACAATGCTCTCTGGGAGAAATAAAGGCACAGCTCTAAGGGTTATATAGATACACAAATGCTCAGAGTAGGTATTAGGAGGAAATTTCAGCAGTAACTTATCTGTGATGACATAATTAAATACTATATTATAAAGTGTATAAATAGGAAAATTGAGCTAAGGCTGCCTTGGAAGATATGACTTGGTTATTTCCTAGAAACTGAATGTTTGACTTTGGAACTGTAGCACTTCTTACTCAAGTTTTCACGTGCCATATTAGTAGAGAACTTCAGTAGCTTCAGTCACAGGCTTGACAGGTATCTCCAGTGACCATGTCCCTTGTTGTCTTTCAGCTTCATTACACACAGCAAGCATGGGGGAGATGGAAAGGGTGAATGAGAATTGTAATTGCTTTGGAAAGCATGATGTTCTGTTCATGTTCACATTTGGACAGAGTCACTTCTTGGGGTAGCTCTTTTAGCCTGTGTAAAACAATAATGAAAAGGTTAAGAGGGAATGTAATGGATAATTGTTCTAAAGGTAATAAATATATAATTGATTCCAAGCCTGCATTTTGCAGTAATTCAATCTTGCTCCCACTGGACTCCACAACACTTTTGAGATTCACTTGAAATTAATCAGGTTTCAGAGTTTCCACAAAGTAAAATCCAGCACTTTAATAAACTCTTTATTCTGAAATTCCAGGGTCATCTTCAAAGATGCATAGTACTATTACTTCGATTATACAGATGTGGATGCTAATGTTATACAGAATCAGCCAGATAGTCAGGTGATGAACAAAACCAGAATAATTCATAGCCTGCCTAAATAAATGAGCTTCAATGAAGCTACAGATTGTATTTCCAATGGATAACTTATAATTTTGATTATTTACAAGGGAAGTTCAGATTCTTCTTGCAATCAATTTTTAAACACCATTTGAAAATTGGATTTCAATTTTTTTTTTCCAAAATCAAATATTAAATTATCTATATGCACTGTTAGTATGCCTGTTATTGCCTTCCCTAAATCCCCAAATTAGCCCAAGGGCTCTTGGCAGTGCAGGTAAACCACTCACTGCAGGGAAGGACCGTGGTACAAGGCAGCTGTGGTACTGCAGCAAGGGGACAGGGTGAAGGAGGCCAGGACGGGATGGGGCAGCCAGCACTCTCAGTTCTGGAAAGCAGGACCCAGCCCTGCACTCACCCTGGGCATGAACCCACCCGCTCCCCATGGCAGGGCAGCAAATTTCCCCAATTTCTGCACTGGGGAGGACGCAATAGTACTGCTGCAGCAACAATCACACAGGTGGCACTTGGCCTCTCCTGGACCTCAAACTCAGGCTTGGCACCTGCAGATTTGCAAAAATCTTTCATGATTTGGGACTGAATCTTTCCAGTTTTGTCTAAAAGTGTCTGGCAAACACAGAAAGTGCATTCACAGCTTGCATCTTCCAACACAAGCTCTGAGCTACTGTATGCTGAGTCTGTTTTCCATCAGGGCGCTCATACCAGCAGTTTGGTTTTAGGGATCTTCCCAGCCCTCTAACACACTCTCAATGCCCTTGGACAGGTTGTATATGTGAACAGTCATTTGCTTCGCATCATTATTCTGGGTCCTGGTTCACAGCTGAACATTGTTTGAACTTCTTACGGCATAAAGGGACTTGGACTCCTTCCTAGAGCACGATGAAGATTTCTAGCAGTTACTTTATACTGATGATTTTGTCTCACAGCAGTGAATTATTTCTCTTCTGTCTGATAATTCAATGTGTTTCTGTTGGAAATGATGTATTAAAAGACTCAGCAAACTGAAAATTAGCAGTGATTTTCTTCTTTTTTTTTTTTTACTAATAAAATCTACCAGCATTTTCAAAAATACTCTTCTTTTTTTATGTGTCAATCACAAGACAGAAAATGATCTCGAATTATTCCTGCTTGTAGGAAACTGCCTTAACTTTACAGATACCAGAACAAAGTGCTTATTTTTGTTATCATGAAAGAAAAACTCACACGTCCTTCAGCCTGCCTATATTTCAAAGCCCATCTGAAGCAGAGCAGCAGGTGTAGCAGTTTCTCACATTCAGCTGGACACAGTGATGATGAATTGCATATATGCCCCCAGATCTCTGCCCCTCCTCCAAAAGCCAATCTCTCAGATTAGGCCGAACACAAACAGGGCTGCGCAGGACCACCTGCTCTCCCTTGTGCGAGATAATATGTTTTCTAAGCCCAGATGTGCCTGGAAATGTACTGAATCCAAGTTCAGAGGAGGCAACTAAGGGCAGTGGGGTATAATGGAGTGGGCTGCAGAAAAAGATAATTTATTTTCCAGTTGATAGACTGCTGTCTCTTTCCAAAATGTATCTTTTGCCTTTTTAGCAAATGCCCCAAAGTAAATGCTACTGTACACCATGCAACAACATTTCTGCCATCAGCTTACAGCAGAGACTCGTTTTTTTAGAGGAGTTTGGGCGGCAGCAGCTGCTACAGGGCAGGAGTTCACAGTGTGACTAGAAAGCCTTTTTTTCCTGAGCACCTTCATTTCTTCCTTCTGTATGAAATCCTACTTGTACAGGTTCCTGAGTGATTTGATGAAGTGGGCTGGTTAGTTCATGGGATACATTTTTCCCTCTTTTGTCTATATCTAGTTCACACTTTGTAGCTTTGGAAACCTCTCACCAACGTAATTTCTTGCTGTAACTTTCACTATATGCCAAAATGGATGCTCTAACAAAATCAGAGAGAAATCCCATTCCAAATCCGGTCCTCAGATCTGACATTTCAGGGACAGCTATATTCCCAGCCACTTTATGTTTGCATCTTTATTTATAAAAAACAAAACCAACCAAACAAAAACCCCTCAACAACAAAAAACCACTATCAACAAATAACAAACCCAAACAACCACAAACCCCCCCCCCCCCCCCCAATTAAAATGGATAGAACCAATGTATACTTGTAGCCCAGCTTAAATTGTCCAGGTAGTCCCTTTTGTGCAATGCCCTTTTGCTTGCTTAACCACCTGGTAGCAGAAATGAGAAGAGAAGATTGGCAACAAAAGATATGGTGCTGGTAGGAAGGAGACTGTTACGAAAAACATGAGAGACAAGGACACACTGCATCTCCAGTTTGGTCTGAGGAGCTGCAGAGCACATCCCAGATGGCACACTAGACACCCCCAGAACGACTTTATTTCTTTAATCAGAAGGATCTGAAGGCAGCTCAGAGTCTGCCATATATGAAATGTACTGTGCTTATGGAGACAGCTGCTGGCTTTGGCTCTGACAGCAAGGGGGAACCTATGCCAGGGCCCAGCAGCCCCGGTGCCTGCTGTGATTAGAAACAAAGTTATTTTTACCTGGCTGCCTTTGTAAGCAATAGCGCAAAGCCTCTTGGGCCCTGAGTCCCTACCCCAACCCTGGATACTCATATTGGGGCTGGCAATGTTGTTCTTGCCCTTCCAGCCCTGCAGCCTAACTGGGCATCTGCATGGGAGTCCAGAGGGCTGGCCGGTCACTGCACCACTGTCCCAGTGTGGACACTGGGGTCAAGAGAAGTGAGACAACAGCACCACATGCCAAGGGTGCCTTGGGGGTTTGTATGATTCACATGATTTCATGGAGGGAAACGAGCAAAGCAGTAAAAGGTATCGAGGCATTTTTGACCAGAGGCTGATCAGAGAAGCGTGTTTCAGATGGATTAGAGGGAGCTGATGAGATGAGGGTCAGTGCAGAAAAAATGTGGAAAAGGGAGAGGGAAAAGAAGAGAAAAGCATATGAGGTGGTTTCTGTTACTTTTTATTGGTGATGCAGAGTTTAATAAGAGAAGTATTTCAGTCATGTCAAAATACCGCAGTACTTCAGTACAAGTCCTCACAGTTGCAGAGATGCCATCCTCTACATCTCTGATTTCCCTTAGGTTTTATAGATTCCATGTCAGTGTTTGTTCCCGGTCCCCGAGACAGTCTTCCCAGCGCAGCACGTTCAGTTCTGCCTGGTTTTACTTTTCTTATCTTACACGGTTTCAGTTAACAGACTATGAGAGCTCAGCGACAGCCTTCTCAGTGACAGTGAGCCAAGGTCAGGAAACGGTGCTGCATAAAACCAGCCAAGGGCCAAGGCCAGCTGGGGCCCTGGGCTGCAGACCATGCTGTGTTCCTGAGCCTGAGAGAGTGATATTCTGTGCACACAATAAACTGAAATACATATACAGTCTGCATGCACGTACATTATAGATACATGTGCTTATACACAAATTCTTTCACATTTTCTGTCTCTCAGAACACACAATAAACTGAACAACATGTCCTGGGAACCTTCACAGTCAGGAAGAAGTCATACAGCTTCAGATAAATAGACTGCTAAACTATAAATGCCCATCCCACGTAAATACAATTTTTGAGGTTTCAATAAAATTTTCAATGCTTTCTTATTCCTTTAGATGAGAATTATTGTTGGACAAAAAGTAGAACCACTTCTCTCAGTTCCCCCTAGAAAGCTGTTTCCCTGCTACCTAGCCTCCCTGCAGCAGGATTTTACACAAATCTCTCAAGAAAACCACAGCTCTGCTTTTATAGTAAGATTGTAAGGCTAGAAATAGCATGTTTTAGTCATGGCCATGTTTAAAGGAACTGTTTAAGGAGTCAGAATTTCAGCCTTGGGCATTAATTCACAGGCATTTGGCACAGAATTGTGTCCAGCTTCTCACTATTCACTGGATCTGACTTTTGCTACTTGCTGTCCCCCTATTTATTACTTTCTACATATCTAAGTCTGATTTTAAAAATAGCTCTTAATTTTTGTGTCATTCCATCATGAATTTGGAAGAAAACCCCAACATCCCCTAATCACTTTGAAATGTTGCAAAAATCACCACTTTCAAGCTTTATGGGAAAGATATCAACTTATCAAGTATCTGCATGCTCATACATATGCACCTCTTCTCCTCTTAGGTCAAGTTATAATAAAAAAATAATGTCTCCTGGTTTTCAGATCCACTGAAAATTGTTGCATACATACACTTTTCCTTCTGTTCAGAACTCTCAACAGTTTGTAAAATCCTGCTGTCAGAATTAGAGTGACAACACACTGTCACAACATGGAATGACAACACAGTTCACAGAACTTAAGTCTGAACATTTCAGAGGGTACCTGAGGCCAAAAGGGAAATAAAACTCTTGATTTGCAGTCCAAGTGTCAGCCTGGAAGAAACTTAATTACATTAACTACAAAATGATTATTACAAGATTATTTTTTATAAATTTTATGATTCTGGTATTTGAGTTGTAATATAGAGTTAAATTTATCCTACAAAGACTGATTTTAAATTATCCCGTAAAAAGGCTTAGAGAATTAAAAAATAGTTATGCTAAAATGACTTAATGATAATGGGTGACGGTGAAGAATTTGAGTGCATTACAGAGACATCTGCTTTACAAAACAAAAAAAATTACCAAGGTGGTCTCAGTGACACTCCAAATGTTGTTTAATTCTTCTATTTGTCCTCTAAAACCAGATCTACAAACAGCATCATCACTAATAACATCTATTACAGCTACCAAAAAAGAAAAAAGGTAAGGCAGAAGGGAATTTGGGAACACAGGACTGGGTAATTGTTTCTGGGGAATTGGAGACAAATGTATCATAGAATTGCTTTCATAAGTTGATCAAAATACATCCTAAATTAAAGTGACAGAAAACTCATTGGGGAGATAGAAGGGACACTGGAGGTTAAAGAGTTATTGGAATTTTTGTCTTTTTGGTGCTTACCCACACAGCCACAGCAGCCATAAGGCACAATAACTCATCAGTTGCTCAGCTGCACAATTACTTTTAAGCTGTTCCATTTATATGTAATTTGATTTATGAAACAGATCATGCATTAATACAAGGAAAAAGATCTCATCACGGAAGATGATTCTTCTGCTGCCCCTGAACTGACTGAAGAGCCACCACCTTGGGAAGTGGGAGACCCATTCTTCACCCTAGGGCTTAGCACAAGCAGCTAAGTGCTCACAGAAGGCAAACTTTACTTTGGACAGATTTAAAAAGTAAAGTCATTTATATTTCTTCATTTCCCCCATCAGCTGTCAGCTGTGCCTTGCAGAAATGAGTAACAATTTGTGGTATTGGACACTACAGAGATCTTAGTAGTTTGTGAAGTAGTTTTCAACTGGCTTTTATACTGGCTCTATACAGCATTGGAATGTTCACTTTGCACTTGGTATCTTCTGGCTCAGCTTTGCCACTCTGCATTTGAACAGGGGTTGACCGGGTATTAGCTTTGATTTGCCTTTAGTAAAGTAATTCTGGTGTCAGGCCATAGTAATATAGTGGATATCTGTGTCTGTTTTGCATTCAGATGCCTCTCAGGAGGAAGGTATCTGTACTTATGACTATTTCTTTTTACAATATAAATGCATAAAAAAGTATGAGCTTTACCATCAGTGACCCAGGAGCACAAGGAACAGAGATTCTGGCAATTCAGGTGCTGCAC